CACCAGTAAAAAAGAATGAAATACTTACATGCTATGACATGACGCATCCTAAAATCAGTATGCCGAATGAAAGAAGCCAGACATAAAAGGCCATGTACTGTATGATTTCATTTATAACAAATGTTATAAAATAGACATATCTGTAGAGATAAAAATTAGATTGGTGGTTTCTAGGGACTGTGGGGAGAAGGGGAAATTGAGGGTGGCTGTTAACAGATGCAGGGTTTCCTTGTGGGGGAAGAAGATGCTCTGGAACTGCATAGTGGTAATGGTTGCACAATCTTGTACATATACTAAAAAAATCACTTAACTGCACACTTTGAAATGATACATTTTGTTATATGAAATTTTATTATACATGACTTATACTTCAATTAAAAAAAAATCCTAATGGCCTTGCTTTTGTCTTTTTTTTTTTTTGTATTTACACCTGACTTAGCAAAAATTTAGGGCCATGGCTTTAAAGTTAAAAAGCACGATTGATTCTCAAAGTGTTTGCCATCTCCCTGAATTATCCTCTACCTGGCTTTCTGCTCACTCGAAATCCCCCCGGACATAGATAGTCAAATCAAAACCTTGATGAAAAATATGCTAACTTTGGGTAATGTTTAGAAGACTTTTGTTTTGATTTCTAACGTAATGATTGTCTGAGTGAGGCTTGTATTACGAGACAATGAAGTTCAATATAAAGGGTTTTCACCACAATTCCAGTCCTCCAAGACATCTACCATTAAATACTTTCCTGAGTGGGTCAGAGAACTCGCCACTCTGTTGTGGTAATAATTACCCTTATCGATTAGCGGCAAATAAATGGACATATAGCCTCACTATGATGTTTCTTTGAAAAAAAGAAAAAAGAAAGAACCAAACATTACTCAATTAACGCTCTGGGCTTTCGTCTCGTATTTACAGAAAAGCTGCCAGGTTGTAGTAAGAATAAGACTCTGTTCAAGAGTCCCATACATATTTAGTACCAAAGAGTGCACAATAATCAGTGGTCAAAGGCTGATATGGACGCAATTTTTTTTGGAAAAGCATTTTCTCTAACACTTGATTTACCTAATTATGGGTAAAGCAGGCAGAATAAAATGTTTGCTTCTCATTCTGACTTCAAGGCAAAGGAAGCCCAATCCATTCCTGAAGCTAAACTATGAATAATTATTCCATAATAAACAACACCCTCAAAATTTTCAGCCATCTAGGAAAGACGCCAGGGCTTTGCAGAAGGTAAACAAGGCACTGACTTTTAATATATTTTATTTAGAACGAAAACTCGGGTGTGGACATTAAACTGTACCTTTTCTTTGGAGCACTTTTCAAATGATAATTTCTTCCACTGTCACCATTAAATCTTAATCCATTCCAGCTCCTTGCATGGGTCATTGAGTCTATATGTACTGCTGTTATTTTAAAATGTTTCCCCTTGGTGGGGAAAGAGGGGGAGAAAAGATGCTGAGAGCCAGATGGGCCTCTTCACAGTTCATTTATCAAACCTAATACGCTGGGCCCCACCCTCCTCTCACTCACGATTGCGGTTAAACTTCCATATAATTTGGTAATCATTTTCATTATCAGAGAGTGACCCTAAAGTAGCCTATCCTGGGACACCCGGTCCTTGCAGCTGCTCTTTTTCTGCCTTTTCCTACAGTAGACCCTAAGAACCTCAGAGTTTATTAGCTACAGACTGACCTTTGGGCTGCGTAGGTCAAGAAGGGGTCGGATCAGAGGGCTTGCCCAGTTCTTTAAAAGCTATAACAAGCTGTCCATCAGGCAGAGGGGACTGGATAAACAAAGGCGAATCTTCAGAAATTCTGTCCCACTTCTGTTAACACTTACCCTGTATTCACACAGCTTCTCCCAATGTCCTTTGGATCATTCAACTCTGGGGAAGTGAATAGACAGCCCTAATAAGCCTATTTGGAGAGGGTTGTTTATGGGATTACCAAGCTTGGAGAAGGAAACCCGAAGCACTCAGATGTGCCTCTAGAGTCGCTGGGTTGTGTGACACTGTGACAAACTCGGTTACCCCAAGTCATGCAAAATTGACACTTTCCTCAAAAAGCTAAATTACAAGGAACATATGCTTCAGTTTAAGAGACTTCAGTGAGTCCCAAACAATGGCTTGGCGCCCGACCTGAGAGACAGACAAATATTTTATAACCAGGTTACAAGTTTTACTTAAAAAATTCTCCTTAATATGATCGCAAATGAACCTGCTAAAGAGGGGTAAAAACCTCTATTACAAAAGACTTACACTAAAGTTATTGCCAGCTGTGGCGGCTCCGTTGACCTAAATTTCTTGAAGTTGTACAATTCATAATGCATTCTCTAATGTGCAATATAAGGTAATTAGAGTCGTCTGTATTTAACTTTCAGAGGAAAAAAAATTTCTATTATCTAATCGAACTGATCCCCTGATAGCTTTGATGAAAGTAAAATACTGTAACCTATTGCTTGGCCTTTGGTGAGTGCTAATTATTTTCTGTCAAGGCACATTTTTCCTTGTGTAATTCCGAAGTACACAATAGGCCAATCTCTGAAACCAGGCTGCTCAGTAAGCACCGCAGTGGATGTTTTATGACTTTCACCACCACCCCGCTTGACGGCTACTCGAGGCAATGCCCAATTCCAGACAGCCAGATGACACTTTGATGAGGAAAAGAAAGGTGTATGGTAACCGTCTGTTTATACGGATCGCATGGATGAGTCTGTAGATAGGTCACTAGGATGGGAAACATCAAATGGGGATGGAGAAGGGGCGGGGAGAAGGATTATGGTTATTTAATACTCTGAGGACACTTTTCCTTCTGAGATCTCAAGACACCAGCCTCTTGAAATTTTCTTTCAGGTGTTTAGTTTTAAGGGGGCCTGCACAGTGTCAGCTGCTAAGCTCTTTCTTTCCTCCTCCCTTAACACAAAGGACTTGAGAATTTTTGTTTCAGTTGCTAGACTACATCAACTTCAACACTGGCTCCAGCTTCTGATTAAATTGTTAGCAGTAAGGGCCAGAAATGCTGAAAGCAGATTCCTTTCAAACAGGCCACTTCGACCATGTTGTCTAATGATTTGGTGTATTAAAAAATTATTGTTAACAAACCAAATGCACTCAACAAAAGATATCCATTGGCGCTCTCACTGGGCCACGTGGTCTTTGGACAGAAGGGAAATGGAGGAGAGATTACAGAGGAATTCTTCCTTCCTTTCTATTTAATTTGAATCATCATGGGGAAGACATGAAACATTAAACACACACAAACCCCTTAGATGTCCCCAAACTGATATCCTATTCCTTAATATTTGTACTTTAATGAATATACATGCTTAACTTGTAATACAAAGAAAATTTTAAAATTAGTTATTGAAAGCTAAATTGGAAATCATTTAGTCATTACTTTAGTTGGAACCGTCTGCTGCTGGCCAGGCGTGGTGGCTCGGGCCTGTGATCTCAGCACTTTGGGTGGCCAAGACAAGAGGATCATTTGAGGCAAGGGGTTTAAGACCAGCCTGATAACATGGCAAGACCCTGTCTCTATTTTTATAAATATTTTTTTTAAAAGAAACTGTGTGCCATTTACTCCGACCATACCACGAAAAAGATGGGGGAATGGGAAGGGAAATACTGTTGGGAATTTTTTAATTACTATTTAAATACAAGTCTGAATTTAAAGCTAACACACATTTGAAAAAGCAGCTTTCTGATACCCAGTGAGAATCAATACTTCATACTGTCTCCTTTCTTGGAAAATGCTCATCTTCAGCCTTGTTCAGACAAACCTATTTTTATAATTATTACGAGTAAAGCTATCAATTACTGTAAATTCTTTTTAAATGAAGTCATTTGGGGAATATTATACCTATCAATAAATGTTCTGGACTCCCAGGCACATAGAATTTTTAAGCACCAAATAAGACTCTGAGACAAAATATGCCCCACCCTTCCTGATTCCTCTCCCTCGTGCTTAGAGACAGATGACAATTCAATAATTTTTACAAACTACAGATCTAAAAGATGACCCTAACATGTGAGAGAACTAGTTCTCACCTCCCACAATATCAACTCTTTTTCAAAAAAGAGCAGGATAACATGATATTGACTATGCAAGCATCAGTTCTGTAAAAACTTTTCACCAGTAACAGTTTCTAAGCACAGGTAACTTCGTGGAAAGAGACCAGGTTGAAACAAGAGTCATTCCTAGTTGGTCAACCCTAAAAATGGGCTTGATAAATAGACTACAGTCATTGCCATAGAACAATTTTTTCGAGGTTTTGGTTAACGGCGAACCTTATATATGTCAGTGGTCCCATGCCATAAGATTATAACACCATATTTTTACAGTACCTTTTCTATACCGAGCTGTGTTTAGATACACTAATACTTACCGTTGTGTTACGACTGCCTATGATATTCAGTAGAGCAACATGCTGTACAAGTCTGCAGCCCAGGAGCAACAGGCTATGCCATATAGCCTATGTGTAGAGCAGGCTCTGTCATCAAGGTTTGTGTCAGTGTAGTCTATGATGTTCACACAATGGGAATCGCCTAAGGACACATTTCTCAGAACCTATCCTCATCATTAAGGGATGCATGACTATGCTTTCAAGTAATCTGCTCTGCACAGAGTGATATAAGAGCACTATACGGATTTCCCTGACATCTGCCCTAATGAAATAGCAATGCTAGTCTTTCAGACTGTTGATTAAAAAGGGTTCTTCAGCATCAGGTACTTATATTACATTATGCTCAAAATGCACACATGCATGCTAAATTGGAATTTATGCCTGATAAATTGTGTAAGCATTCTGATGATGCCAATGGATCATTACAATTAATGTAGGTACCATGGACAGGAAAGCTAACTTTACCTGAAAGCATCTTAAATATGCTTATTTTTCATGGCCCCCTCAAAGGAAAGGGACGAGGCCAGCCATCAGGAAAGGCTTGGCCAAATATAGTTCTTGTTTGTCAAGAACAACAAATCCCATTTCATAACAGAACTAACCTGGCATGCCATTCCCTCCTCAGGTTCTGGCGCGCAGTGAGCGAGGCAAGGATGGCAGTCAAGATTTCATTCCTTTGTTCCACGGGGAGCCCCTCTCTTTTAACTTCATGAAGCACAGCATTTGTCTACAAGAAATGATCCAAAAAAGAGAAAGAAAAAGTGAAAAATTAATAATAAAAAAAGCCCATAAGCAAATAAGGACAGTAAATCAATGGCTTTTTTATTACAGTTCCCCTGCTAACAAATCAATACAGTAAATGATGGCCAAAAATGGCCAGCATATTTTGTGTTTAATCAATGTACATGGCACATAAGGTAAACTCTAAAGCTCCATTGCCTTAAGTAACACATCAAGATACTGCGCATTCTTACTCTAATTTTCTCAGCACACCAACGGTTGTTTTTTTCCTGGGAATTGCCTACCATGAGCTATTATTAGAAATGATTTTCACGTACACTTCACTGTGAGTTGTTTGTTTTGCCTTTTTAAAAAAGAGCAGTCTCTGACTTTCACTGTTTCCTGCCACCCAGCTGAGGCTTTCTCTGCCTCTCTTATTTGAATCATTACTTTAAATTTCTACGCATGCCTGCAATGTTTTACAGGGGAAGATGGGGAAAGATTCACTCATTTTTCTTGCTTGTTGCAAATCAAGATCTTGCAAAGAAAATAACGGGAACACGAAAATCAGAAAGACCATTTCTTTGAATAAGTATTTCAAAGAACATCTTTAGATTTTATAGATTTTTTTAAAATTTAAAGTTAGTGTGGCTTCTCTGGAGATTTTATAACCAAAGCAATTGCTAAAAGGAATAAAATTGTCATTTCAATTTCAATGAAATTGTCTGCATTCTAAGTCATTAAATATATTTCTTATCTAACAGATGCCAATATATTTGTTTACTTAAAAAGCATACCCATAACTTGGTTCTCATGTAAATTGAAACACTGCTCCCTCACTCTTTTATAGCATCTGACAGTGCATATTTACTGTTTTCATGACAACCTTGAGAACAGGACTAATGAACCCTTGTTGTTTCTGTTGCATAATTCCATACCTCATCCCCTTTGTCTGGCAACATCACCTAAATCCCCTCTTGCAAAGTCTTTTCTTTCACGGTATAAAGTCTTAGAGGGACTGTCAACCAAGGTGTCCTATCCTCCCCTATCAAGGATGTGGGCCAGACCAACGTGATTCTTTTTCAGGACTTTAGACTCTTGAGAGGAATGATAAAGAAATGAGGGAAAATGCAGAGGCAATTTATCAATTCCCTTAATTCCTTCCACCCATGGTCCTCAGAGTATCTCTAGTTTCCGGAACTTTCCAAGTCCAGATCATTCGCTTTTCCTTTCATAGTGTCAGTCTCCCAATATCCTTTCAATAAAGTCTCATTTTGCTTAAATTCACCAGGGCTGGGCACGGTGGCTCATGCCTGTAATCCCAGCACTTTGGGAGGCAGAGGCAGGCAGATTGCTTGAAACCAGGAGTTTGAAACCAGCCTGCCCAACATGGGGAAACCCCATCTCTACTAAAAATACAAAAATCTGCCAGGCAAGTGGCATGCACATGTAGTAACAGTCACTTAGGAGGCTGAGGCAGGAGAATTGCTTAAAACCCAAGAGATGGAGTTTGCAGTGAGCTGAGATCATACCACTGTACTCCGGCCTGGGCAACAGAGTGAGACTCCATCTCAAAAAAGAACCACAAAAAATTCATCAGAATCTGTTTCTGCTGCTTATCATTGTTAACTGATGTAAACCTATAAGGCAGAAAATAGCAACAGTGTGAAAGAGCCTGGGTAATCTACCTGATACTAGCCAGGAAGGTGTCCCTGATCCTGCCTCCTGGGGTCAGTATTCCATCTACTATGCTAGGAGATAAGCCCAGTTCTCAAGCAGCTTCTGTGGCAACATGTTCAGTCTTCCAGCACAAGGAGGAACGTTCAGCTTCTCTAGGTAATTCCACCACATAAAACCCAGGATCCAGGGGTTGCAAATTCAAATACACACTAGGCCAGGCAAATAACATGAATGAGTTAAGCAGAGGTTACTGAAAGAGAGCACATGTTCTGCCTAAAAAATGCAACCACTATTCAGATCCAGCCAGCTCTGCCACTCAGAAAAGCTGACTCATTAATGCCAGATTCATGAATTTTCAAAATAAACAAGAAATCTGGTGTGTGTGTGTGTGTGTGTGTGTGTGTGTTTAATGTAAAAATTGATTTTGTAAATCTTGTAAACTCACTAAATTTTTTTTCTAAATGACACGTGGGTCAAACGAGAGACACCAATGGGCTGAATATAATTTAGGCATCTACCAATCTGTGATCTCTAATCTAAAAGATGTCTAACTTCAGAGAGGTCTGAGCATTAGCTGGTGTTCTAACAACAGTACCACTCCTTGTCTGTGACAAACTATCTCGCATACTTAAACTTGGAAGGAACCTCAAAACATCATGTAGTTTTATCGGCCAGACACGGTGGCTCACACCTGTAATCCCAGCACTTAGGGAGGCCAAGGTGGGTGGATCACCTGAGATCAGTAGTTCAAAACCAGCCTGGCCAACATAGTGAAACCCCATCTCTACTAAAAATACAAAAAATTAGCCTGGTGTGGTGGCAGGCATCTGTAATCCCAGCTACTCAGGAGGCTGAAGCAGGAGAATCACTTGAACCCAGGAGGCAAAGGTTGCAGTGAGCCAAGATCGTGCCACTGCACTCCAGCCCAGGAAACAAGATCGAACCTCTGTCTCAAAAAGAAAGTCATATAGTTTATTGTTATGTCTGTAGGTATATACATTATTTTAGCAAAATGCAAAAATGTATCAAATGAAAGACAAAGTAGACATCTAGCTAGCTCCAAAAACATGATCAAAATAAAATTATTTCCCTCTGTGAATCTATTTAAATGTTTATTTTTTTAAAATGCCATTTACCTCTTCCTTTCCTTTCATATCATTTGCATTTTATCCAGCGGCCCTTGTTTTCCATAGGCCCTGAACAGTCTTAAGAGGGGAAGGAACAAGGATGTAAGGAAGAAAGTCTCACAAAGAAATGGGATGTTGCCTGTTTACTTCAACACTGTAGCCCATTGCCCACAAAATAATTGTCAAATCAGTGAATAAAGAAGGGACTTGAAAAATAAGTATTACAAAAACAAAACAATGAAGGCAATCTTCTTTTAAGAAATTACCATTACATAAATGGTAAACTCATAAAATGGATACAGTAAGAAATAGTTACATGCTTTACAAGAAGCTCTTCACTTCACTAAGGGACTCACTCTAAGGTTTCTTGAAATAACCAGATCCTGTAGTTCAAGAATTTCCTCGACTTCAGTTATTCTGGCACATCCCCATAATTCTTGCCATATTTGTATATGAACTATATAATACAGTATTTAATATTTTCATTTAAATGGACTCATTTTCATAGTAATTTCTAAATAGAAGCAAAAAAAGAAAAAGAATACTATGAAAATTGGCTTTTGAAAAAAATATAAATTGACTTCAAATGCAAAATGGTAAAACCAATGGTACTTATAAATGAGACAATTATAAAAGTAAATATAAACAAAACTATATATCTATTACATTCTAGATCGATATTGTTGCTTGCTGAAGGCTCTGAGGCTAAAGCACGCTCTCTCTTTGTAAAAGAAGATATTAACAAGTGGTTGAGAACAACGATGCAGCAGATTTAAATGAAGACTTTCTTGACATAATCACATAAACAGATGGAGCTGAAGAGAGAATCACTGTCTCACAGTGTGGTCCTCATGTCCAGAGCCCCCAAGTACCACCTAGCATCACCCTGCATCACTTGTGGTCCACATCTCACACTGTAGACACACTTCCCTACTGCAATGGTTTTTAACACTTTGCAGATAAAGCTCCTTTTTCCCCAAATGTATCCTTACATGCAACTCCAATATATACAACAAACAAAATGGGAACAGTTCTCTTTGAAGCTGGTATGGAGGACCTAGAGGTCCTCCCTTTGTCATGCGGCATCTTCTTAAAGCCCCAAGACACTGTGAAACATAATTTGCCAGCCCCAACCCCAGAGCATCTAAAACAGCATTTATGTTTTTAATAGTTTAGACACTGCTAGGAGGAACGCAAAATATTACAATTCTGACAAACTGTTTGGCAATTTCTTATAAAGTTAAACATACATTTAGCATATGACCCAGCAATCTCATTTATACAGATTTATCTAAAAAAATGATAACTTATGTTCAAACAAAATCATGTATACAAATGTTTACGGCAACTTTCTTCATAATCACCAAAAACTGGAAACAATCGAAATGTTCTTCAAAAGGTAAATGGATAAATACGTGGTGATACAGTCACACAACAGAATACCACTCAGCAATAAAAAGGGCTGAGCAAGTGATGCACGCCACCACACAGAAGCATCTCAGACACATCATGCTCAGTGAACAAAACCATCTATTTGACATTCTGGAACAGGCAGTACTACAGGGACAGAGACCGTAACAGTGGTTGCTAGGGATTAGGTTAGGCCAGATGCAGCACGAAGGAATTTTTGAGCATGATGGAACCATTCTGTACCTTGATTGTGGTGGTGGTTATGTGAGTTTATACAAACGTTAAAACTCATAGGACATGCGGCTCATGCCTGTAATCCCAGCATTTTAGGAGGCCGCTGAGACAGATAGATCATTTGAGATCAGGAGTTCAAGATCAGCCTGGCCAACATGGCAAACCCTGCTGCTATGAAAAATACAAAAGTGAGCCAGGTGTGGTGGCATGCATCTGTAATCCCAGCTACCCAGGGAGCCGAGGCAAGCAAATTGCTTGAATCTAGGAGGAGGAGGTTGTAGTGAGCCAAGATCATGCCACTGCACTCTAGCCTGGGCAACATCTCAAAAAGAAAGGCACAAACAACAAATAAAAACACAAAAAACCTATAGGACTGTACACCAAAAAAGGCCAATTCCAATTTTATTGCATGGAAATTTTATAAAATTAAACTTAAAAGCTGTATTTGCATCACATTTTTAAAACAAGAAAGAATACAGAAAACAAGTTTCAAGTAAACACATCTAGTAAATAAGTAGTAAAAATATGGAGAAATATAACAATGACAAAAACCAAT